CACCACTTAAAAGTAGCTCAGTAATTGGAGGGGAGTGTTGTTTTCAGCAGAGCCCAGCTCCTCTGCCTGTTAGCCTTGAGCAAGATGAGATCTCTGCCTGCCTCAGTTTCCCCTGTGGGTGGACGGAGGTTAATAACCACCTTGGAGCTCTTCCAGGTCCACTAATGGAAAGCTTTTTGTAAGAACAAGGTGCTGTAATTATTGCTGCTGTTATAACTGTACCTGTTCTGTGTGTCTTAAAGCTTGGGGTGATACTCACACCTAAATATGGCTCTGTGTCTTTCCCTTGCAAGAGTCACTGATGACTCCAGAGGGCAATTCAGACCACAGAAATTAGGCTTTTAATTTCAAAACTATTTTAACCGGGATAGTCCTCTGGAGATTTCAGTCTTTTTCCACTACTTGTAGAGGAAACATAGCAAAGTTTAAATCCTATTCCTAAGACAGAAGTTCATCTTGCCAAACTTGAGCACTGTAAAAGCGAGGTGTCTTGGGTAAGGCAGTGCCTAAGCTCTTTCTGTTTGCTGGGGAAGCAGGGGAGATGGAGATGCTCCAGGCTGCAATTTCCAGGATGGGATTACCTGGCTGAACTTCTTCTCTCTGGCTACAGTGGGAGGGAGTTTAGGTGATGAGCTCAGCACTGCATGACTAAGTAAGAAAGCTAAAGAGAAATAATGGCTTATAATCACAGAATGGTTTGGGTTGAAAGGGACCTTACAGCTCATCTTGTTCCAACCCCCCTGCCAAGGGCAGGGACACCTTCCACTAGACCAGGTTGCTCCAAACCCTGTCCAACCTGGCCTTGGACACTTCCAGGGATGGGGCAGCCACAGCTTCTCTGGGTAACCTGGGACAGGGCCTCACCACCCTCACAGGAAAGAATTTCTTCCCACTATCTCATCTAAGCCTGCCCTGTGGCAGTGGGAAGCCATTCCCCCTTGTCCTGTCCCTCCAGCCCCTTGTCCCAAGTCCCCCTCCAGCTCTCCTGGAAAGTCTTTAAGGGGCTCTTAAGTCTCCCTGGAGTCTTCTCTTCTCCAGGTGAACTCCCTCAGCTCTCCCAGTCTGCCTCCATAGATTTCAAGGACTAAATTCCTCATTCAGGTTCTGCCAGCTAATACCTTGTGTTTCCTGTGCAGTTGATACTAAGGCTGAAACTTTATGGTTGATTCCTCCCTTTTTGCTTGTGCTGCCATTACAATGAAGTAAAGGGTGACAGGAGTGTGGATCCTGCAGGGTTGTTTAGAGTGCTGAGTGCTGACATGTGGCTCTGTGAAAAGCATGGGAGCAGGTAGCAGATGAGAAATTATTGAATTTTCTCTGTTGCAAGCTTAAAATGAAAGCTGATATGTGTAGACATGGATTTTTGTGCATGTGAATTCTGATTCAGTTGTTCTGAGTGGAATTAGTTTTGATGAGCTGTGTAAATTGAGGGAGAATTGGGCACTTGGAAATGCTGTCCCCATGATGACCTCTCCCTCTGAATTCTTTAAAAATAAAGAAAAAGAGCAGACCTTCCCTCCCCCTGTTAGCATTAAATGTCAACAGCTGTATTTTGCTGTTGGTGCTTATTAACTTTCAGCCTTGCCTTTTTCAAGCATTTATTGCTTTAGAAATGAATTAATGCTTGTCACCAGGGAAATGTATGTCTTCCAGCTATCTTGGGTTCTCAAAAGATGCAATTTTTCTTAAGTAGATTGTTTAAATTACTGACCAGGGAACCTCCTAATTGTTCTACATTAAGTTTTGGTTCTGGCATGGTTTGTCTTGATGTCTGTTTTTTAATCTGTTGAAACCCTGTTACAGTCAGTAATTATTTGGAGTGTCTCTTTTGTAAAGAAAAGATGATGAATTACACCATTGGTTGTAGTTAATCCTTTTACTTTTTCAACCTGAAAGCATTTTTTCACTTTATTTCCTAGCTGAAGCCAGTTGTCCTTATTTTTTGCTACCACACATTCACTTTGCATCACATCATTGGAGGATCACCTAGTTGGTTAGGCAAGTATTATTTATTTCCACATTTAGCCACTCCTGTCCCATCCACGTAGCACTCAAAAAAGAAACAAGCTTTTGGGAACAGAGGAGATTTAGAAGATATATTTTTAATATGCTTTCACTGCAACTTTCATCTGGTCGTAGTTGTCTGCAACTTATTTTATTGGGGTTTTTTTCTGTTTGGTTTTTTTTTTAAACACATGTAAGCATTTATAGCTTATTTCTTCTTTTATAAATGTTGGGAATCCCAGGATTTGTTGCAGCATCATGGCCACTATCTTGGCTTTGTAGGTAATTTACTAGTGATAGATATGGATAAACCTAGAGTCGAGTGCCTTTCATTTCCAAATCTGATCCTGAAAGGCAAGGCTGAGAAAAGCAAAAAGTAGATCTCTGCTGTGACTGCTTCGTAAATAGGCAGCTTGTTTGGTTTTTTTCCCCACAGATTGTTAAATTGGTGGCTATTATGCTGACAAATATAATTGCAGTATGTAAATCATATTGAAAATATTTTTGTCTGTTTGATGTATACTGAATTTAAGCTAAGTTATAAGGTGTGCTGTTTGGAAGTGTGGAAGATACAAGAGTGGAGCTACAGATAACAAGTTTATGCTTGTATTTCCTACTGATGAAGACTTTCACACAAGTTATTTCTATGGGTAGGTGATGAGAATATCACTCTGCATGTATATACATTTATTATACATTTTTGCATGATTATACATGTAGGAGTGGTACAATTTTGACTTGAGACTATTCGTGCCTTTTGTCTAAATACAAATTTTACTCGTTTAGGCATGTCTATCTAAAAATCAATTTTCGCTTCTGCTTTTCGGAGATCTGAGTAAGAAGCGAGAGAAACAAAGGCCCGAAGGAACAGTCCAGAGCTCCTGAAATTTTAGATAACCCACTGAAAAAAATGGTCAAACAGTCAATATTGTACTTGACCCTCGTATCTTCTGCACTCGACTGTTTATTTTTATAGCTCACATTATGTATGTTCACGCTGAACTCTGATGATAAGACTGAAGGAAAACATGCCTCTCATGACTCAGTCCGGTCGTAACTTCTGCACGTAATTTAATCATCAGCTGTCACAAATAATTAACTGAACATCAGCCAGCTTAATTCTGAACTCGGTATTCCATTATTTTGTAATTGCCTTTTAAAAAGACAAAGATTGCCTTTCAGTTAATTATCAGGGCTTCTGTTCCAGTCATGATCATCAGCGTTTCACGTTGCGAACAGTTTGGTCTTTAAATACATTGGCATTTAACTACTCATTTATTTTTGTCGGGTCTGTTTTTAAGTTTGTAATGTAACATCGTTTCATGGAATTGTTGTTCTGGGGGCAGGTCTGATCGGAAATGTTTTGTGAATTTCTTTGTGCCTTGCTGCCAAACTGATCTTTAGTACAACTTAAGCAATATGTCGCTCTTTAATGAAATGTGTTGCTAACCACAAAATAGGCTTTTCCTGAAGATAGTGAGTTGAATTATAGTTCAGGCACCAAGCTGCTAAAACACCCCCTTCCCAAAAAAAAACCCCAAAACCTAAAAAAACCTCGGAGGAACAGCTTTTCAGAGAATTAAATTTGAGACTTTTATTTCATCGTGTTCTTTCTCTCTTCAGCAGCCATTTAACTCTCCTAAAAAGAAAACAGTTTTTTTTTCCTGAGAAGGCTTTTCATTTTATTCTTTGTGACTTTTAAAGATTTCTTTAGTCGCTTTGTAACTCTGAAGGTCGTGTCTTCCTGAACACATTCCTAGTTTATGATTATTTTGTATTATCCCTTACAAGTTACACCCTCCGTGTATCACACAAAAAGTCCTACAGGCACTCAACTTTCAGAACCTCCCTGAGGCTAAAGAATTGCAGCAGCAAAGTTGCTGAGCTTTGGCCCAGCCTGTGCTTCTGTTTCATCCTTGTTTTTGTGGATGAAGCCTTGGCCCAAAGAAAGTTTTGATCCTCTCATTTGGGGATGGGGAACTGCAGGCACTTTCGTCTACTCTGAGTCAATAAGCTGTAGCTGGGGCAAGGCATTTGAGCTAAAACACCCACATCCTTCCAGAATTGCATTATTTATCCATTCTCTCTGCTTTCACATTAATCTTTGTCTTGAATTTGCCTGGTTTTTTTCTGAGCCTCTTCTGTTTCTAGCATGCTTTCCAATTATAAGTGATTTTCATTCATCACAAAGAATTTAGTCGGTGCTAACAAAATAGATGGAAAAATAGCTTTTTGTTATTCCTCAAGAACAGATTTCAGAATCACGTAAGCAATTTTATCTCCCTCTTTCCTCCTTTATTATGGTGGCCAAAAATGCATATGGTAATCCTATTGAATGAAAAGCATATTTGTCATTGTGCATATATTTTTGTTTCTTGTTATTCTTGATCTTAAAAAGAAAAACCAACAAAACGAAAAAACAACAAAACAAAACACCAAAAAAATTTGCAATTTTTAAAAATTCCCCTGCCCTTGACAGGTAAATGTTATGAAAGGAAAGTTGCCTAATGTTAAAATTTATTGTTACTGGATCAGCTATATGAAAACGTTAGATTTATTCAATCAGCCCTAATAAAATAATGTAACCTGTCACTTGACTTCTGTAAAATTCTCTAGATAAATACCTTGTCTGCCAAATTTAATGTCCTGTGACTTATTATCTTTTATTTTAAAGTGAAGGTTTTATCCTTTAAAGATTGTAAATGTAACGTTGTCAGATATGGAGATGTTTATGGGTTAATGTAAAAAATACGCAAATAACTGATCCTTTGATAAACGTGTTTCTCTTACACTTGTGTTTTCTGTGTATGCCAAAGTTAAAATGTCTCTGTAATCCCAGGCTGCGTTCATTAACCGAAGTTTAATAATTCATATAATTCATTGCTATAAACTGGAAGAGCTCCACATAGGATGTTGCATTAATCCTTAAACAAATTATTTGTACGTTCAGAGGTGCCTTTCACACTTCTAACCCGTGTTGCTTTTCTCTCCTGCAGATGGCCCCCCCATTGTGGCTCACTATGATATATCGGACACGAACTCGGACCCAGAAGTGGTAAATGTGGACAATCTCTTGGCGGCTGCAGTAGTTCAAGAGCACAATAGTCAAGAGTCGGGATCTGCCTGGAGAACCAGAGGGCTGCTGGATGAAATGAGTGCTGACACAGGTTTGTTTAAATTCTCTGCCTCTGACATTTGTTCCAGCATCGCAGTTGGTGTCTCTCCCTTTCTTTCTCTCAGTGTTTTTGTAGTTTATACAGCTGTGAAAGCTCCCTGTGTGAATTTTGTGAGAAGACAGGGCAGGTGCTTATTAAAAGGGTGTGACGTTTATTCCAAAATAAAACTGACAGAAATTGACAAAGATTCCTGCAATGTATTTTTGACACTAGTTTTCTTAATTATTTTTTTCTCCTCCTTTTCCCTCTAAGTGCTATGGGAAACTTAGGTGTGGGGTTTTGTTGTTGGGAGTTTTCTTAAGTGAAAGTGAACTAAACTCGTTCCTGAATGATTGATTGTGATGGCCCATGCCACCAGCCAGTCAACTGGTCATAATCTCATTTTGCATTTTGGAATTGTCTGTGTATGTCTTTTATTTTTGTTTATCTCTTTATATCTTTAAAATACAAGCATTAATTGTTCCCATATTCCATCCGCATTTCCAGCATCCCTTAGAAAACTGGACAGCCCAGCATCAAGTAAAGATGAAGGGTGAAAAGATGCTGGTAGGTGGGCTTAGCATCTAGAGATAGCAAAGAAATTCCCTTCAGGAAGGCAAGGGCAGGAGTACTGTGGAAGACTTCAGAGAAGTTCATGTAGCTCATAAAAATTGTTCAGCTTCACTTAAGTGCTTGTAACTCTTCACTAACAAAAGAGTTAAACAACAATGTGAAACGTTTCTGTGCTTTGGATGCCACCAGGGAGTATTTCCTATCGACTTCATCCCACAGCCTGGTGTGCCAACACACTGCCTTCCTTCCCACTTGATATTTTAATACCCACCTCAGGATTTTTAGCTGCATAAGGCACAGTTCTTTCCTGCCGTGGTGGAGCACAACAGGTTTGTGTTCTATGCTGTGTTTTCCAAATGTGTCCTGCCACAGGGCACTCACACTGGGAGTGTCGTGGTGGCTCTGACATACTTTTCATTGTCTGTAAGGCTTAAAGAAATACAAATATGTGGCTTTTTAAAAGAGATAGTCCAGCACTGTGGAGCTGACAAGTCCATAATTTAAATATGAGAATCCATGTGCATTGTTTTCACTGTCGCCCCTGGCTGGATGTTGTTCCAACCTTTTTGAAACTCACCTACGTTTTCCAAGCTCATTGGTATTTTTTGCAGGATAGCAGCTGACTGGCAGCTACTTGCCCACTAACAAGCCCCATCCTCTATCAAGTGATTTTTAAAAGAATTAGAACAGCTGAAATCACCTGAATTATATAGCACTAATGGATTGATACTGCAAAGGAGTGTAAGGAAATAAAAAGTAATGTTTCTTACCCAGCTTTCTTCCACTTTCCACCTAAAATGCTGCAGTGCTGGTACAAATTTTTCTTCCTTCCTCCACCTATATCCGAGGGGACTTGCAAGGTAGAGGCTGGTAAAAGAAAACTAGAAAACTTTAAGAGACTTCTTCATCCCTGGCCCTGTGGGAACATGTTCAAACAGATTTGGTCCCGGTGCCTTGGCCGTGTCAGCAGCTGAGAGGATGAATCTCTTTTTCCTCCTGCACACACCTTGTCCCAGAGCCCTGCAGCCTCTGTACACATCTGACTGCACCTTTGTCAGTCCTGGCCTTTTCCTACCCTGTCTAGGGTTGCACACTGGGAAAGCAGAATTTTCAAATCTTGCACCTTGTTCACAGATTTAATCTTCAGCCAGCATCTAGTTTAGCAGACATGAAAGAATGTGTTCCCATGGGAAGACAACAACAACTTAAGCTCTATCTCAGTGAAAAATCTTACTGTGCTATCACATCCTTGTGCATGGGCAAATATTTTGGGGCTGTTTTGCAAGCCCTGGTGTTGTAGGGCAAACAAGGCATCACTTTGGGCATCATCACAACATTTGTGCAAAGAAATTAACAGCGTGGGCATGTTATAAGGCATGAAATTTGTATGGCCAGAGGCTGTAAATCTGTCTGTGTGCTGTAATCCTGATTTATATCAGCTAATCTTGCAATGTTTACTCTGCTAATCATGGTTTCACTACTGCTGATTATCTTTTTGTTGTCTGAACTTTAAATTATGGTAATATATGAAAGCTTTTTGGGACTACAGTTTTATACCTCTGAGGGTTCTTCTTGGGGCTGTTTAAAAGCTGCTCTGCTTTACCCCTCTGTCAGAAATTAGCCTGTCTAGAAGAAGGTGCAGAAGGGTGGTGTGGCATTAATACAAGATACTACAGCCATCCAGTTCCATCCCCTGCCATGGGCAGGGACACCTTCCACTAGCCCAGGTTGCTCCAAGCCTTCTCCAACCTGGCCTTGAACACTTCCAGGGATGGGGCAGCCACAGCTTCTCTGTGCCAGGGCCCCACCACCCTCACAGCCAAGAATTTCTTCCCAATATCTTATCTAACCCTGCCCTCTGACAGTTTGGAGGCACCAGCACATGAATCAAAGTCTCTGAGCACTCCCATTTCATGTTTCACTGTCTGACCAGCCACTTCTAATAAAGAAATACCCATGACCCATTTTTGGGCTTTCTGGCAGTCAGTGATATTTGCCAAGAAACTTTCAGCTGAACTGTAATGTTAGGAAAAGTCTGCCTGGGCTATTAATTCATTTTAAGTTCAGCTGACAAACATTTTTTGTCTTGTGACGTGGAAATTACCCCTTCAGGCACCTGGCAGCACATGGGGTTCCTTCCCTTGCTAATCCTGATCAGATGTTGCACCGGGGGTCTTGGCTTTCCAAAAACTGAACATACAGCCCCTACAACAGTCTCTGCCCCTACAAGAAAGGTGGAGAGAGACTATTTACAGGAGCATGGAGTGACAGGACAATGGGAAGTGGCTTCCCACTGCCACAGGGCAGGGTTAGATGGGATACTGGGAAGGAATTCTTCCCTGTGAGGGTGGTGGGGCCTGGCATGGGTTGCCCAGAGAAGCTGTGGCTGCCCCTGGATCCCTGTAAGTTTTCAAGGTCAGGTTGGACAGGGCTTGGAGCAGCCTTGGATAGTGAAAGGTGTCCCTGCCCATGGCAGGGAAGTGGAATGAGTTGAGCTTTAATGTCCTTTCCAAGCCAAACCATTCTGTGATTCTATTTGCATCTTTTCCAAGTGCTTGAAGCGGTCATTAGAAGGTTTCCCTGGCACTTGTTTCAAGTTTAATTTCTTCTCTCTCTGTCCCCTTGATCTGCCTGGAGGTATAATCAGTTCTGCATGTTCTCACACCTTTGAAATCCTCCGGATCGTTATTGCTTCCTCCTCCTCTCATCTTCTGAGGATGTGTCCACTCGAACTGGATACACATAAAATATTCACCTCCTCTCAAATTGCCTGCTTGACAAATGATTGTTCCCCTGTGTAATAACAGCTGAGCAAGTGGTTTCTGAGAAGCTGGTAGTGTCACCTACTTCAGGGCTGCCCAGCACCCCCCAGGCTAATGACAGACAGTAGAATTAATTGTCTTCTCTTTTTCCTAAAAAAAAAAAAAAGAAAAGAGTAGAAGTTAAATCTTTTCATTAATGATTTTTTAAAAAATCTATTTCCTGTGAAAGAAATAATAAATTTGTCTGCTTTGTGTTTTCCATGCAAATTTTATTTAATATGACTCAACACAGCTTCACTAATTGGGGTGCAGAACCTTCTTAGGGGTACTTGGCAGAAAAGACAAAAACCTGCCACAATTGCTGTATTTAGAGAGGGTTTGTTGTTTGACAGACTGATGAACTGGATAGCATGGAGGAACTGTAATTAAAAAAGCCCTGTAGTATATGGGACTTAATGAAAACCAGATTTTTTTTCAAATATTTTTAATAATGTTAGAGCAGATGTGTGAAGCAGCACAGCCAGAAACTGATGGGTTTGCTGTGTTTTTTTCATTGACCAGCTTCCCCTAGTTTTCTATTAAAAGAAAATAAATTAATTTCCTTTCATGTGTGTGATGTTTCTGTCCAGCATATAGGCTGTGTTTGCCACAGTGTCATTGAGTTTGGTTAGATTGTTTTGTATTTTTAAGTTAAAGGGATTTAAGCACAATCTAACTCTTAGCATTGTTGCAAAATTGCATCTGGAAATTCTAATTGCATCAGGAACAGTCGGTCTGTGTTCACATTTGTATCATAACACCATCACTAGAGCTGTTGACACTGGTTAAATTTAGTGTATCAGATGATGAACTGGAGATTGAATGATTTGATCTAATAAGATTTTCCAGTCTCAATCCCTTTTTTGTTTGTTTGTTTGATTTTGTTGTTAGGTTGAGAAACTCCTTTTCCAGTGGCTTCTGAGTTGTGTAAGCTGTTAAACATAGGCTGTATTTCCATTTTCACCATCCATAGGTCGTTTGGATCCAGGCTTCCTTGCAGGTGACAAAACCTCTTCTGGTAATGCCCAGGCCAATGAAGAAATTAATATTGCCTCTTCTGATAGCGAAGTAGAGATTGTTGGAGTTCAGGAACATGCCAGGTATGAGTTATTTTTTCTTGCTCTAATAGTTATTTTGATGCAAGAAACAACATTGCAGTTGTTTCTTCTGTTCTGCTGGTCACAGTGGTGTCAGAATGTGTTTCTCTTTAGAACTTGACCAAATTGATAAGTATTCAGATTAAACTTTGATATCTTGATATCTTTGATACTTGATAATGTTTGATAACAAACATTAACTGGCTAAAGGTTTGTGGTATTTAAACACCAAATATTGAGATACCAAATGTACAAACATCAGGAATTCAGAGTTTAAAGGAATATGTGAACATGCAAAAATATTTATGTGGGTTCTTGTTTCCTTTCAAAATATGAAGTTTTTTATCAGCTTCTACTTTGCTTAATTAATCAGTAGCTGTAAAAATAATATGAATTTTTCAATGCCTAGTGTCATAAGATAACCCCTCTAGATTAAAAATTGGATCATTATGAATCTTGCTTTTATTTCAAGATACAAGAGAGTTCAAATCCCAAAAGCAGATGAGGGTAAGGGTGCCAGTGGTTTCTCTCATGCTCAGAAAAAAACCTGTCCAGCTGGGCTCCAGTTGTTATTCTTGATTGGCATTTTTTGCCCTTGCTCTTCATCTTTAGTCTATGATCTTTCCTTGGCTTCAGATATTATGAAGTAGTTGAGCATGACTGGCCTGTTCATATAATGTGGAGTGTGAATTTGGTGGAATAAAAGCAAGTTAAAACAGTATACAAACTAGCCTGCTGGTAGGTGGGTGCTTGGAGACAGAGGAGGGGCATGAGGGACAAGGAACAGAGCTGGGACAAGAAGCAGAGCTCTTCCTTGATGTCCCTTCACTGCATCTTCCTTGAGGAAAGAAGAAGGCAGGTGTGCAGGACCCAATTTCCCATGCAGGAAATTTAAAGATGGTGTGGGCACAGCCTGGTGCTGTTGGATGTGAAGAAGGGGAATTTTCAGGTCCTGTAGTGAGAGAGATTTAGTCTTTGCTTTTAGAGCAGTGAAAGTCCTTGCATGGCCAACTCTTTTGGAAGATACTAATTCCTTGGGCTGTTTATCCAGCAGACCCAGGGCTTGGAGGATCTTTGTGCTAATGATAAGGGGTGTGGACTTGCCCTCCAGCACTAGTTGGTGTAAATCTGTCTGGCACTGTGCACACACAGCCCGTCTGTTGCGGTCCCCTGTTGGAAAGCTTCCCATGCTGCTGCCTTGGTAATGCTCAGCACGTACAGGAATGGAAAGAACTAAACACAGAGTTGCTGTTAAAAATGAGTTTTAGTAGATATGGACTGAAGTAATTTCAGCAAATTGGACTGAAAGCACACTTCTGTGCTTTTCTTTGTTCCTGTAACCATCTCCCACCTCCCATCTCTCACAGACTAGTGTTTACCAGCCCCGTTGAATTCTCACACGTTCCAGTTGTTTGAATCCTATTTAGAGTTTTATTTCTCTTGCAAGTCTAGGCTTGCAGTTATGAAGTATTGATGGGCTTCTGACAGGGTTGTTGTTTGGACAAGGTTTAGGTTTTTGATCAGTATTTTTTGCATGCTTAGTGTGATGTTTGGGTTCTGTTCTTTGCTGTTTTTTATCGTGCTCTGTACTCCCTGTCCTGAGTTGTGACACCCTGGGGTTTGTCCATCATCTGTAGTTTTTCAGACTGTTAGTGAATTGGTGCTGTTTCTCATCATTGGAATATTACTTGGCATCTACTTAGGACACCAAGTCATGTTTTTGGGTTTTTTTTGATTTTTTTTCCCCAGTAGATTTTAATTTTTAATCATGCATGTGTATAAAACAGTTTTCCTCTGGGATTTTTTTTTCCTAGTTTGTTTTTTTTTTTACCACCTTTTGTTTTGGGTTTTTTTTTTTTTTTTTTTTGCCTTTACTTGGTATCTCCCCTTAGCTGCAGATTGGAAGCATGTTCCCTGAGCTCGTGTTTGACTGAACGTTTTGCTGTTGGCTGCTTACGTGACTTGTTTGAGGATAAACACTTTTATTTTTCTGGGATATCATTCCTACGAGATATTTTATGGCTTGGTTTTTGTCATCTTCAAGAGGAAAAGTTAGTCTTGGCTTTGCCTAAGCGTTGAGGACTGTTCTCACAGTGATGGACCATAGTCCCCGAGACCAAACATCGTATTTAATTTGCTTTGTCTACAACCTTTTCTTGTCAGTTATGCCTAAAAGTATTTCTTCTTAAGAAAGCTTTAAAAGAAAGAAATCCCATACATTTCTTAGAGTTCCAATCTCTTATTGCTAAGCCTTTGTAGATGTATACTTTAAGTATGTATTTTTAAGACTGAAGAAGCAATAAAAAAGCCATTCTGAACATCACATCTAAAACTAAACAGCGCATCTGAGAAGACAATGAGACATTTATATTCAGAGAAGTTACAGCTCAGAGAATGAGATTTTTCATTCTATTTCATGAAACTCCAACCAGAACCAAGAAAGCTGAGCATAACCTAAGTAGTTTTGGAGAGAATAAATAGCGCGACCTTAAGTTAGAATAAATAAAGTGTAAATGTCAGGGATATTTGATCAGTGCAGAAAGTCAGAGTTCCTGAAATGCACAAAGAAATGGGAAAAGGTTACCCCAGCAGCCAGAACACCTCATATTTATCTGTGCAGCCAGGAGCAGCTACAGCCACCACCAGAGCTTACCAGGAGCAAAACAATTTTTGGGAGCAGTAGGTATGGAGTTTTACTGGTGCTTGTGTAAGATTTTACAGCTGGGAATGGAGTGATCATCGTAAAGGCTCCTGTAAATTCCTGTCATCACTTCAGCATGAAGCAAGATTAGTCTGTCTTTCATTTTGCTTTTCTTTTTTTCTAATTGCTGTTAACTTTTGCTTCATTTGTCACATATCTGCTATGAATATAATAGGTAAAAATGATGTGTAAATAAGTACCTATGTATCTTGCTTCAGCGAGGCACCTGAGCCTGTGTTTACCTTTAAATACATGATTTAATCACTGAAAGCTTAAATGTTTCGCTGAAGTGACGCTGTGCTGTCGTCAGTGAGCATTTCCCAGCACATTTGTAATTTTTAGTTAAGAAGACCAAAACAAAAATCAGACATAATGTAATTAACAACATCTCGTTTGCAATTATTGTAGTGAAAGTATTTTAACACGGGTTTGATTTAATATAGCAAGATGGCTTTTCTTTTTGTCTCATGCAGCCTCACTTCAAATATTTCTGTTTTTAAAAGTCCAGTGGGTAAAGCTGCCAGCAGGACACTGTGCTTCTGAATTAGGGTACTACACATGGTGGGGCAGGCTTCTTCAGGATCCTTGGGATCCATGCACATACTTTTTAAGGATTATCACTTTACACCCACTGGCAGAACCCATTTCTTATAAATAATTTAATCCCCCTCCCCAAGTTTAAATTTACTCTCAGCTTTGTTTCCTGGGCATTTAGGATGTCACAGACTCTACAAATGGCAAATCCATGAGGGCAGTTCAGAGAGGGACGTGTTAACCAGATGCCTAAGTGATAAAACCCTTCAGCTGAGACTCTGGTGCCTGAATTCAGTAGTGGCAATAATCCTCTGTGGGTTTTTTTTGCCTTGCTGCAGGTGTGTGCATCCCAGGGGAGGCGTGATCCAGAGCGTGTCCTCCTGGAAGCGCAGCTCTCAGTTCATCAACGCCCAGCAAACACAGTCATGGACAGCAGTGGCTCCCCAGCAGAACTGGTCCTCACCCCCAGAAGTCGTGGACCTCACCCTGGATGAGGACACCAGGCGCAAATTCCTGCTGTAATCCCGTGTCACTGTGTCCCCGTCCCCTTCCCCTCTTCCCCTTTGTGGCACAGAAGTTCATGATTAAACCTTGAGTTTCGGAGCCCCCTCCCCACCCCGTTCTTGGCACTATGAAATTCAAACTCACGACGTCTTTTTCATGTCCATAAGAATGTAGTACGACTTCAGTATGACTTAAAAGGGTTTTTTGCCTTCTCAAAGGGGGATTCCTCTCAGATTAACAGCACCGAATTTAAAACACATCTACAGTTTACTAACGTGTGCGTGTTAATCTGAAGAAATAACTGTGTGCAAAACTTACATCCTCCCTCCCTTCCCCTCCTCCCGACTCCAGAACGTTTTTAACTTATCAGTAATATTGAGTTTGTTAGTAGGAGTTAGTGTGTTGCTGTGTGAGCATCAGTGATTTTGAGGAATGGTGTGTCCTCACTGATTTCAGTGGAACTGGGGGTATTCAACACTTCTGAAGTCTGGGCCAAGAGTGTTCATACACAAGCTGATTTGGTTGTGTTACCAGCAGGAGGGACTGTCTTTAATGCAAACGGCCCATAACTTATGCACTGAACAGCTTTTAATTAAAGCATTTTTATTCTCAGTATAATTTATAGTTTATTCAGTGCTGAATCTTCTGTCTACTTGACTACTGTGTTTCACTGATCATTTCCCACGGCTTGATATGGCTAAAACAGTAATAATAGTAGTGACTTAGTAGCAGCTGATTATTGCAAAAGCACAGGAAAAGGTAATAAAAAGGCCCAGCATCCCTCTCCTTTTTAATTATAGCTGAACTTTTTTACCTTTATCCAAGAATTGCCTGGAGGAGATGGAGAAACTAAACGTTTTGCTCGTAGTCCTCATTTCTCCTGTTGCTTATTTGCTTCATTCACCACTTCAAAAAAATAAAAAAAAAACCCAAACAAGCAAATTCCAAAGCCCCAGCCTGGCAAAGCACTGGCAGCTGCTGGTGTTCAGCTGAGACTGTTCCCGAGAACTTGTGGGGCCACTTAAGTGCTTAAAACACTGTCCTAAAAGATGTTGCAGGATCAGAATCAGAACCTAAGGTTGTGATTTTTTTGTTGTTGTTGTCGTTTAATTAATAAACTGCACCCTGCAGGATTCTAGCCTATATGGCTTTAAATCTTGCCTCTTATGCGAGTTTTAGAATTGTTTTTAGGGCGTGATTCAGATTCTTTCTACCAGAATATTTACAGAAATCAGTGGAACTACTCAGTTTAGTGGGCTGTGGTTTCTGTGGTGTGTATGGAAATTCCTGCCCCTCATCTGTCATTTTGAGCCTTTCTCAAGGCAAAAACCAAAGATTAGACTTCTAACAGAATGATATTATTCACTTTTAAAGTCTCTCGTGCAATTAAAATGTTCCTTCATATTCTGGATGTTTTTGGTGGGAATTTTTTACAGCTCTGTCTTCAGATTTTTTTAGCAGTTAGGGCTGAACAGGGGTGGTCAGGACACGGGAAGTTCTGCTTTCTTTTCGTGCTGGCTGGTTTTGAGATTTATTTGGCTTCCAACAGTTTTACCTGTGGGCAGAAGAAAACAAATTAAAAATAGAACTGCCTGTGTTGTCACGTAAAGGAAAAACAGCCCGGTATAGTCAGTAACAAACATCTCTTTTTCCCCATAAGCAGAACAGTTTGGACTGCACTTTACAAGATGAGTAGGTAAGGGATCGATACTCCAATTTCCAGCTTTCTAAAACACTGAACATTAAGTGTATTATTGCATGGCCAGAAAAATGTATGTGGTGCTTCTAGTGACCGATTTCTTTCCCGGGAGAAGGGGGGTTGGGAGGGAGGGGAGTGTGGATGGAGCCCCTTGGCAGTGCAGTAGGGAAAAGCCCCCCGCACTGCTCTCCGTTGGTCCCTCCTCCCGGTGTTTTAATCGCGCACCTCAGTCATTTCCATGGGCTCACACACCTGCTGTAGAGGTAACTCTGGAACAGGGGCTTAGTGTGGCTGCTTCTCCCTGTTCCACAAAGTCTCCTGGAGATCAGTTTTGAAGAAAGCTGCAGGGACCCGTTTGCAGTCCTTCCGTGAAAAAATGCAAACTAACTCTCCTCGGTTTTTTTTTCAGTTTGTATATGATGTGACTTCCATGTATATATAAAAACAACTGCATCCTAACCAAACTTCCTCCATTTGTGCACTGTGTTTGTTTAAACAACTCACATATTGCAGTCCGACGCAGGTTTTCTTTTATTTAAAACACTACGTATTTTCTCGTATTCTTAAGAGATTTTAAAGGGTAGTGCTCTGAAAAACACAATCACTGGATAGCTTAGGGTTAGGAAATGGTTTGGTTTTGTTTCTCTCTCTCTCTTTTTTTTTTTTTTTTTAAACTGTTATTTTTTTTAAAAAAGAGCAAAATGTGCCTGGGTGGTTTTGCTCTTCTAAGCAAGAAAGAGAAAAGTCAGCCATTGTATGGCTAAGAACCAATGCACTTGGGGCCTGATCCAGAACCCACTGGGGTCGGTGCAGGGCTTTCCATTGACCTCAGTGTGCATTGGCTCGAGCCCTTCAGGGTTTAGCAGTTCCTGAATTGCTGGAGTGTGAACTTGGAATCTTCTATAGTGAAGACAAATCACTGCTTAGAATATAAATGTTTAAAATGTGCAACTCTAGTTTTAAAAAAAAAAAAAAACCAACAAAAAAATTGATTCTTCTCAACACTCACTATTTAGTTCTCATTTTCCATCTAGTATTTAATGGTCTTTGGAGAGAAATAATAATAAAACAGAGTGTTATATAAATATAAATATATATATTTTTGGTGCAAGATGAGACCTTCTGTTTTTTTGAAACAAGTCTGTAGAATAAAGGTTAAACTATTTTAAGACAAAATAAAATAGAGTGTATTATTTAAACAACGTCAATTTGTTTGGAATTTTTATTTTCCACTTTCATCAAATGTGCTGCAGTTTGTCATATGTCCAAAATAAATCCTTAAGATCTGGGTTACAGCTGCCCAAATACAGCATGTGTTCCCTGCTGTAACACATACAGCATGTATGTAACATGCAGTAACACATGCAGTTTTGCATGTCCAGAATGGAAAAGTGATTTCCCGACTGCAGAATCTTGTTTTTATCTCTCAGACCAGGGCAGGACTAACACTTCTCCCTGTAGTGCTGGAGGGGGTGCCAGGAGATGTTCAGGTACCAGTAACAAGTGGCTGTTGCCTATCACAGACTCCCAGAATGGTTTGGTTGGAAGGGACCTTAAAGATTATCCATGGGCAGGGACACCTTCCACTATCCCAGGTTGCTCCAAGCCCCGTCCAACCCGCCTTGGACACCAGGATGGGCAGCCACAGCTTCTCTGGCAACCTGTGCCAGGGCCTCCCCACCCTCACAGGGAAGAATTCCTTCCCAGTATCCCATCTAACCCTGCCCTGTGGCAGTGGGAAGCCATTCCCCCTTGTGCTGTCCCTCCAGTCCCTTGTCCAAAGTCCCTCTCCAGCTCTCCTGGAGCCCCCTTAGGCACTGGAAGGGGCTCTCAGGTCTCCCTGGATCCTTCTCTTCTCCAGGTGAACCCCCCCAGATCTCCCAGCCTGGCTCCAGAGCAGAGGGGCTCCAGCCCTTGGAGCATCTCCATGACCTCCTCTGGACTCACTCCAGCAGCTCCATGTCCTCCCTGTGCTGGAGGCTCTGCAGAATCCCTTCCAGGGATGCGATTTTGGCACAACCTCCACCTCCCCCCACACCTCAGTCCTTCAGGTGTCTGAGCACCCTTCACACCGTTATTTCTCCGACTCTATCCCCCTGTCCCATCCTCCCAGGCATCTTCTGCTGGTCAGTGAGACCAACGAGACACTGGGATTTCCTCACACAGCCAGACAGTGCTGACAGGCTCAGACCTGCTGCTACTGGGAAAGGAGGTGCAGACCAGCTGTGAAGCTCTGGGCAAGTCCTCACTGACCACAAGGAGGTGGTGCCAGTCAGAAAAGTGTTTGGAGAACCACCAAATTACACCAGGGAATTTACAGCGACAAGTAAAGAAGGGAATGGGATGGTAAGTACAATTGCACTGTGCAATTAGGGTCCTGCTGCCTGCCAGCCTTCTCACAGGCAAAATGGGAATAGGAATAATAATAATAATAATTCAGTGCCTCTCCAGTGTTTACTGTGTATTTATTACATGAGGAAGCTCTCGGTGCAAGTGAGGAAAGCCATTTATCCATGTATTTTAAATATCAATATGGATAATGAGAGTGAAGCGACTTGGTTTTCAGCTCCACTGAGTCCATGGGGTTTGTGAAGCCTGAAAAAACAAATTCTGGGTCTGGTGGTGGCTGTGGAGGTGGACACCAGACTTGGGTTTTGTTTCATGTGTATCATATGTCGTGGAGTTTGGTGCAGATGTGAGAAGAGGACAGATGTTGTATCTCCTGAATCTTTTTTTCTCCATCACCAAGTCACACCCAGAGTCTGTAGACTTCAAGATACACCGAAGGGAAAGCTTAAAATTTCTCCTGTGGCACTTGGCACCTCTTTATGTAGGAGCCACTTGGCTTTGTGGTAATTGTCATTTCTGTGGCAAACACAAGAACTGACCAAAACTACCCAAAACTAGGTTAGATTTGGTATTGCTTTCCCCAGTGAATTCACCGCGATGCAGATTAATTTTGTGGCTGAAAATTTAGTTTGTCTGCCTTGAAATGAGGACTGAAAGTTTTTTGCTAAGTGGATTAGTTCCCCAGTTCCCTGGAGAATCTGTAAATGTTGTCCTTTGTAGAGTGCATCACCTCCATTGGCTGATACACTACTCAGTTTCCCCTCTCCTTTTTAGGGTTGTCATCTGTGAATATCAGCTGCTGTGGCCTTTTCTCCAGAGCATTCCAGGGATTTCATTTCCCTCCTTTCTGCACAGGAAAGGAGCAGAACACCTGCAAAATGCAAACTTGGGAGGGACAAACACTGCATTTACTTTCGTCTTTGGTGCAAAGAAGGTGAATTAAAGTCCTCCTGTTACTGACACCTAAGAGCAGATGAGGACCCAGCCCCCACCAAGTTTATATCTTGACACCAAGGAGTTTATGAAAAGCGAATGCATTCCTGAGAGTCCTTGCAACTGCTGATTCATAAATGCCCCTTGGAAGTTTTCTCTTGGAGCTGGTTAGTCATCTAGATTTGCAACTCAATTTAAAATTAGAATTGAGTGCCAGCCACTGGGAAGGAAATATCTTTCAGACAATCTCAGGGCAAAGCTGGAGTGGGCAGGGGAAAGCTGTCTGAAAGTTTAACTTCAGATAATTTCCTACATGTACTCGCTGCATCGGCAGCTTTGGGTGAATCCAGGGCAACCACACCAGGGCTGGGAAAAGAAACAAGAGTCCTCTGTCAAATTCGTTTTTCATTGCTGTAGTGATGTGAATTGAAGGCAGAACTCCTTGGAGCCTGGCTGGTGCCTTTTCCAGGGGCTTTCCTACATGTGCCTCTGACGAAATGCTGAGCATGGCATTTGCTTATCTGTGCCTTCAAGCTCCTGTCCGGCCCCTGACTGAGGACACCCAAACCTTTCCCATTTCCTCTCTGCCAGGTCCTTTCACGTCTACCTTAAATTTAACATTGCTGAACTCCATTGTCACACCAATCATAGGATCAAACAATGATTTGGGTTGGAAGGGACCTTAAAGATCATCTCATTCCAACCCCCGGCCATAGGCAGGGACACCTCCCACCATCCCAGGTCGTTCCAAGCATGACCTTGAACACTTCCAGGGATGGGGCAGCCACAGCTTCTCTGGGCAACCTGTGCCAGGGCCTCACTGTCCTCACAGCCAACAATTCCTTCCCAATATCCCATCCAAACCTACTCTCAGTTTTTCCCCCTTCACCTTTCCAGCTGTGACCCTCTGGATGCCTCAGTGTTTGGCCACATGGATCTCCATAGGAGGCTGCCATTTTGAAGCAGGGCATGTTCAAACCCCCCTCTGTGGGACTGCAGGTACACAGGAGATGTTTATCCACGGTGTTATGAGCTGGCAGTGGCCCTAAACCCAAAGAGGAGCTTTCAAGTCTGGAGTGGCTGGGCTGGAGTGATGCTTTCAAGATCCTAATGGGAACTGTGTCACTCGTGTTATGTGTTCTCACACAAAACTCATCTTACCTGGCATGGGTTATGATGGAGATGCATGAAAAGGTAATTTTCTTGCCTTTCCACATGATTACACTTTCCTTTTAGGTCCATTTATTTACACTCTCCCTGGACCGCATGTGACAAAACCACCAAATAAAAATACCCCACACAGGAGCTCTGCCAGTGACAAATCACTGTCCAAGCACCTCAGAGCTCTTTCCTGGCATCTCACTGACACCTCCCTTTGTGCTGACGTTGGGGGAATGGTGGGGGCATCCCCATAACATGGGGGGCCAACAAAGAAGGGACTCACAGGAGCAGGATGTCATCAAGGGCAGATGCTGAGTGACTCCGAAACTGCTCCCCCAGCTCTGCCTCCTGCTTCTGGAGGAGATCCCCAACCCCTGGGCAGAAGGGGAATCTCCAGCATGGTGGAGTGATGTGGCCAAAACTCCAGTTTGTGAACATATCCCTGGTGAGAACGATTTCTAACCTGCTCAGCAAGGGTGGGAAATAGGCCCAACCTCTCTGTGAGATGCATCTCAAAGAAGAAAAATGCAGGTTGGGGTATTTTGTCAAGTCGTTTTTGTTTCTGATGGTTCTTGGTGCATGCTGCATCTTCCCTGGGATTGTTGGTGTCATCTCTCCAGTTCCATGGTGAACACTGGGCTGGACAGTACCTGAAGGCAGCTGACAAGAAGGACAGACAGGGACTTTTTACAAGGGCCTGGAGAGGCAGACAAGGGGCTTCCCACTGCCAGAGGGCAGAGTTAGATGGAGTATTAGGAAGAAATTCTTTACTTTGAGGGTGTGAGGCCCTGGCACAGATTGCCCAGAGAAGCTGTGGCTGCCCCATCCCTGGAAGTGTCCAAGGCCAGGTTGGACAGGGCTTGGAACAACCTGGGCAGTGGAAGGTGTCCCTGCTCAGGGCAGGGACTTGGAATGAGATGAGCCTCAAGATCCTTTCTGACCCAAACCATTCTGTGACAGGCAGTGACAGGAGCTCACCTTCAGTCTGTCAAAGGACCAGAGCTCTTCAGGGAAGAGTTTTCAGCTCCAGGCAGGTAAGAGATGGAGATTATCCAGATAAAATCCTGGCATACCATGGGATGTGGGAGTACCAGCCTGTAGAAACACCCCCATTTCTATGTTTTACCACCAACCTCCAAAATACCTCTCCCTAAAAAAAGTCCCTGAAGTGATGAACCACAGGCACAGGGCAGGATTTTTGGGGGTGTCCTGTGCAGGGCCAGGAGTGGGACTTCCACGATCCTTGCATGTGCCTTCCAACTCTGGATATTCTGTGATTCTGTGATGAAAAATCCAATCACTGTGTGTCACTACGTGTCCACAAACCACGTCTGACCCAGGAAAAGCCAGGAGCATGGCAGGAATCAGCACAATCTCCCCCGGGTGCTCAGGGCCAGGTGGAGGTTTACTCTGACAACCCCAGAACGTGCTAAATAACCAGACTCAGCCTGTCCCTTAACACCTAACACAGTCTTGTGGGTTTTTGGTGCCTGCTGGCCCCAGGGCAGGTGTGAAACTGCTCAAATGGTCGTGCATTACTCAGGCTGCAGCGAGTGAGCAGACGCCCTGCCTTGAATAATTGAAGGCTGGGTGTTTACCTGTGGTGATGCACTCAGTGCCACTGGTGTGTTGTAGGTGTGTTCCTGTTGACAACCATCAGACAGCCCCAGTCCAGCCCTTGGGCTCCCTTTGTGCAGCCAAAGTCCACGGAGAGCACTGTGCTGCCCCTCCTCTGCAGCACAGAGATATAAAACCGGTC